GCCGGGGACTAGAATTTCGTCATCAAGCCCTCCTGGGCTGTAAAGCATTGCATACGTTGGGAGATGTTCTTTGCGCGCGAGAGGCCTTGGATGGAGTTATGAATGCAACGGACCAAGCAGGCCTAGCAATACGAAAGGCTTGGCATCAAATAGTGGATAAATACCTCCAACCGCAAACCCCTCTAGCTAAATCCCTGTGCACCTATCGTAAATGGCAGGAATGTATGGATGCTATTGCCGCTCTTCTAGATGATATTCCAGCGAATTGGAGACAGGCGGCTAGTCTTTTGTTGCCGCTGAGTGTAGAATCTAGGGAAGCGATGGTGCCCCCTATTGAGTCGGTTACTCAAACCCTAGTGTCGAGGCTTGGTTGGAGATGGGGTGTAGGGCCTCCAATCCGATTCCAACATTTATCCGTTAAAATAGCGACTAATATGCAACTTTCACCTTTTTCGATGGCTCGCCGTGTGGCCCATACCCTTTTCATCAAAGAGGCGACGGGTTCTTCTGAGATATTGGATGAAGCTATTCTTCTTTTGCAACGGACATTCCATCGTTTATGGTTTCATTTACGGTGGGAAAATGAACAAAAAGAGATTTGGTGGCGTCTTGCGGTTGATGGGGTGCCTATGTTAGGAAATTCCCATCTTAGGATGTCGCGCCCAACGATGTGTGGTTGTGGAGGTTATCCAATAGGTTCAGTGGGAGGTGTATCCCCTCGCTATCATCATTTCTGGGCCTGTCCGGTGGCACAGGCAATAGCAGATCAAATTACTCTTTCAATAGGATTGCCAGTCTCAAGGGAGCAACTTTGGCTTATCCAAGCCCCACAATCAGTGCAACAATGTGTTTGGGATGTTGTGGCTCTTGCTGCGGTGTCAGCCATGGAGCATGGGAGACGTTATATGGCTGCAAACATGAAAACCAACCCGGCACTGTTACCTGGTCCTTCCCTTACGGAAGAAGCAATTTGTCGAGTTATTGTTGATTTTTGGGGCCGCATTCAGGGTTTCGCAGCTTTAGGAATTCCACGAAAAGGTTGGGAATCCGTTGGCGCACATCACCCCTTTTTGAGGATTATATCTGGCAAATTGATTTGTTCGCGAGAGCGGTTACCGATGAGAGGTTAATTATCTGAGATGATAATCTTTTGGTATATTAGTCTCTACTGCAGTGCACGGCCAGCTGGCCCGATGGCTCTACTCTTCGGGAGTCTGGAGCCCA